ATTATAGTAAAAATACGTGAAGAGAGAAACAAATCAAAGCTGGGATTTATAAGCAAAAAGGAGGCAACACTTTAGAGTTGGAATATTTGCAGTATGAAAAAAATGTGAAATTGTATAATTTAAAAGAACACTAAGTCAAAAGAATGTTTAATAAAATTAGTATGAATAGAAGGAAGCAGATGCCATTCACAAAGACATTGTGACCTAAATAGTCATTTCAGAGAGCTCTGTGGCTTTCACTTCCATAACAGGCCCAGAGTGCCAAGTCTTTTAGGGTAAAACATTTTCAAGAAAAAGGCCCACAATGCCTATGGTAACATGGAGCTTTTTGCCTAGCAGTACTCCCTGGCTGCCCCATCTCTGGTTTATGTGGGCTCATGTGAGACTTGGGCTTTTCCTCCTAAAGGTATAGCCATAAACTATGCTAACTCCACAGGTGTGCACAGTCCATAGCTGTGGAGTTATGGCTAATACTTCTATTTAGATTTTTAAGGGGGGCTTGGCGAACCTCAGGGCCCAGGAAGTCAACTGCAACTGGGAATGGATCACCCAGACTCCCAATTGTGAAAATGCTGAGGATCTAGGGAGTTGGGACTACCACAGAGAAATACATCCCTGAGATATGGGCTACTTCTAAGATTTCCAGTGTAGAGCCACTAGCATGGATCTCTCAGTAGGGACAACCACAGGAAAAAAAATGGAAATCTGTGTGAATGGTAATATGGCCTACTCCCAGGAAATTGTGTGTACAGGTTTGCCTGGATCCTTGGAGGCCCATCGCCTGCTCATGTGTCCAACAGACAGGATATGAAGCCAAAGAAGATTATTCTCAAATCTCAATATTTAATGTTTGCTTTGCTGGAATTTGGACTAATGTATAACCTGTTACTCCCTCTATTGTTTCTTATTTCTCCCTTTTAAAATAGAAATGCATATCTTCTCTTATGACTGTATGTTTGAAACACTTAACTGGTATGATTTCACAGGGTTACATTTGGAGGGGAAATTATCACAGCACGAATCATACCTCAAGTCTTATCATATCTAATTTAGATGATATGTAGATGAGACTTTGCACTTAGATTTTAAAGTTGATGCTGGAGTGAGTTGAGATGTTCATAACTATAGGGATGCAATTAATATATTTTCTATGTGAGAAAGACATAAATTTTGAGAAGCCTGGGCAACTTGCTACAATATAAATAACTGTGCCCTATATTTACATATTGAAATCTAAAATCCATTACCAAATTATGAAGAGGTAGAAGCTCATGAATGGAATTAGTGCTTTTATAAGTATCCCAGGGAACTAATTAGACCCCTTTAGACTTCTATCCTCTCTACCATGGGATGATAGAGTACCAATCATGATAGTGGAGACTAGGACATCATCAGACACTGAACTTATCAGTGCCTTGATTTTAGACTTCAGGGCTCAAATTGTAAGAACTAGTTTTCTGTTCTTTTTAAATTACTAGTTTAAGGAAATTTTTATAGATGTAGAAACTGAAACAATTGGTACACAGTAGACTAAGAATGAATTTACTTTATATAGTCACCTAAGAGAGACGTTCTCTGGGTTATTTCTAGCTGGTGACAGTCTACTGACAATACTTGATTAAAATTGAAATATATTGTAGCAACACATTCTCAAAGAAACTTCTAATGCCAAAAGAAAGAGATCATTATTTGCTTTCTGTCCCTGTGAGACAGAAGAAATTCAGTGTCCTAATGCTAGAAAACTAGAATCCAGTCAGAAACAAATTTCCATTTTTAGGCAAGTTGGCTTAACTTTAAGCATGTTTTCTAAATCTAGACAGGTTCCAAAGTAGGTAGAATTTTAAGCTACAGTTTAGCACTACTAAGACATTTATGACCATATAAACATTAAAAGTAGATTGAAAATTAACCTTAATCTGTATTGGAGAGGAGGTAACTTCAGAGCTTTCTGGCCAGTGAGCTCTGTGGATGACTATCCTATGGCTCTCTCTGAATAAAACTTGAGATTGAATTCAAGCCCCATATTATTTAGTCTAATTTCATGGTCCAGATTTTTGCTGCCCTTCTTCTGTGCCTTGTTGCAATTTGAACATAGAAGGCTAAAAACAGAAAATCACTGTTACTGTACCCAGATGTATTCCAAACTTCTGTAAGATTAGAATGAACTCCCAGTTTGCCGGTTTGATTTCCTTATCCCTAAGGGAGAATCAGTCCTCATTTAAGAGTTGAGAAGGAATTTTATATACCATGCAAAATCACAGTACAGAAATCTAAGGTTGCCAAATTTTCTACTTTGTTGTGAGCCACTTCCCTGAATTTGGGAACCACCAATCATTTTCCATCCACGGTTGTTGTTTTTTCCTACTATGATTCTACTGAAGGAAATGGCTCATGTCCATTGGCCTGGATTAGATCACAAACTTCACGACAATCTTGCAAGTTTTGTGCTATTCTCAACTGGAACTATTACTACCAACAAATGAGGAAATTAAAGTACATATAAGGGTAGGACCTGAAAGAGACAAGGTCAAGTACAAGAATGTACTCCTAGGAAAGTCAAGCAGTCAGGTCATCGTGTGCAGGGCAAGAACAGTAGTTGAGTAGGATGTTGAGACAATATCTGTGGATCCTTTCAGCACTTTGGAGCATCAGAAATACTTAACTGTGCCCTGAAGCATTTTCAATCATATTTTCCCAATTTATGATAAGATTTATTAATTTTGTTTGTTATTTTTGTTTTTGTGGGCACATCCAGTTAAAACCTTAATATCTTGGTGTCAGTTATTTTTCTTGTTGCTGAGAAAAAAATATCCAATACCCAGTTAAAGGAGGAAAGGTTTATTTAGCTCACAGTTTGAAGGCGTTTTAGTCCACAATCAGCTGGCTCCAAGGCAGGCTGGCATGCAGACAAGCATTGCAAAGGTGAAAGAGTTCATGGTGGTCAGCAGGTAGCAAAACAAACAAGGGACTACCACAGTTCTTTCTATTCCTTATATCTTATCCAGGCTACTTAGGGCAGGTAACACTCACACCCTTCATTCTAGTGCCCTTGAGTCTAGCAGTGCACCAATTTCACACTCCAAATCCAGCCATCTCTAAAAAAGCCCTGCCTATGCCTGCATGAGGCTTTGGGGGGACATCTAGACACAAGCCATAACACTTGGTTGCAGAGAGCAGCTAACTAACTGGATGCCAGAAACCAGAAAATGATTTTCTGGCCAATTTAACTTCTTGTGTGTGTGTGTTTTTTTCTTTCCTCTGCCAACCTTGTCTCCATTTCCACTAATCCTTCCCCCATATCATAGCCTCTTCTCAGAGGTTCTAATGACAAGCACTAGCTTCTTGGTACTCTATGTCTCTTTGCTCCTTGTTTGTACCCTTAACTATAGATAACCTGCACTTAACTTCTTCCTCAAAGGTTAAAAAATGGTTCAGATAAGCATGGTGGTATACTTTGTATTCAAATCTCTCTTGCTAAGCTGAAGAAGGAGAGAAGGAAAGGTATAGATCTGTGACAACTTTACTTTGTTTAACAGAGTTCCACAATTCTATGTAGAGGAGAGAGAAGAAATGAAAAGTAATACAACAAACAAGCTGTTTTCACAAAATATGGCAAATATATAAATTTTTTTATAGCAAAAGATACATGGGCATTAATTTCACTCAAAATATTTCCTGTAGTTCCAAACACACTTAGCTTTTAATTTGTGCCACTTTTTTGAAGCAGATCTGGAAGTCTTTTTTTATATCTTTGTGAAGACTGACCAAAAATGCTGATGTTGATTGCCATCAAACTGAAAGACAAGCTCTGAAAACATTACGGTGTGTCCTCATCCAATCTATTTACATCTTGCCCCATGAATCACCTGGCTCTTCTCCAAAGCCAAGCACCACAAAAAAAGTAAATATTTTGAGTTGATTCAGGACATTGAGGCACCCGCAACAATGCAACTTGACACAGAACAGGACTTCCAGAACTGATTCAGAAAACGGGAAGACTGATGGAATAAATGTGTTCTAATCAAGAGGAAGTATTCTGATAAGGATTAGTGACAATGTGTCTTTTACTGTAATATTTTTTAAACTTAATCATTCACCATATTTTTTAGCCACACCTTGTGGTTATCACAGAGATGTCCTTGCTTTAAGTGTTTGGGGTTGGTTTTGCCACCTAACAGCCATCTTGGAAAGCCTCTCCTTCTGTAGCTGGCATCAGAATGACCTGGGATCCAGTTATTTATGAGGCTGTGCTTTACTTGGCATGCTGCCTATATAAGCTAGAGGCCAGTGCCATGGTTCCATTACATCTTTACAATTAGGCATCTGGGAAGTTGTTCAGGCTGTTGAGAGGTCACTGCACTGCCAGAGTTCTCAATTTCCTTTTGGAGACACTGGGGTTGTAGAATGCTGCTGGCATTCACAGGTTTTGTGTGGAGAGCAGCCCTCGGTGCAGTTTTGCTGAGGATGAAAGGGCATCTCCCATGGTTTATTTCCTAAACTTATTTCGCCTTAGAATGAGGGAGAATATGGACTGTCCATCTCCTTTCTCATTCCCATCTTCCCTACAAAACAGATTATAAATTTCTTTAATTTCTGACACAGAGAAATCCCAGTCTCTTGCACTGGTAGGGATTTTACTTGAAGGCATCTTATGCCTGCAGTCTTGCTAAAGGTGGTATTGAATGGAAAGAGTAGTAAAATGGTCCTCATTTAACTGAATCAGGGTTCAGAGGTCCACAAAATTGACCACATTTTGATTGCAAAGCAAATGTGCAAATAATATATCAATAAGCTTTTATTTCAGATATTTGCTTATTGCTATAACCTGATTAACAAATGTTGAAATTCATAGTCTGAACAAATATATTTCTTTGACACAAAACTGACATCTGAGAATTTCATCATTACCATGTTCTAGGATTATTAGAATACAGGAGCTAAATATTTCATGTGTAAATAAAAACTTCAAAGATTATATCAATAATATGGTCTTAGAGAAAATGAGTCATTTTAAAATTTATTAGTACATGTTTGCAGCACATATGATTACATTTATCATGGGGAGTTGGTACGTGTACACAATACATCTTTAAAAAACAATCTCCTGCCTGTCTCCTCCATCCCTGCTTGGTTCCCTTCACATTTTCAAAGCCTCTATTTTCATCATCACTTTTTCCCTTCAATCTTTTCCACCTCTTTTCCCTCCATTCCCTCCCCCTCCCTCCAGCTCTTGCCTACATCATCCATTTGAAAACAATCTCCCTACTTCAAGAGAAAATGAGTCTTCAAAGTGTTTCTTTGACAGTGAATCATGTCTTTGTTCACTGAAAATTGCTTAAAATAAGGTATTTATTGTTTTTCTTTAGGAAAATTATACTTGCAGTTGTAGATTAGTTAATAGGAATATTTAAATGTACTGTGATTTTTCTAAAGAGAAAAACACGTTTTACTTTTCCTTAATAATATCCATATTGAATCATATTAGACAATAATAGCAAGGACATAGAAATTGGTTTTGTGCAACTTTTTGAATAGATACTATTGTTTAATATAACATTTTATCTTTTGCATGAAATAAATTTTAACCAATAAAATCAGTCATTTACTTTTTTATTAAAGTTTAATAAACATTTGATTGTGATGTAAAATAAAAAAATAAGACAGTGATCTCCTATACCCTTTATCCCAGATTCACAGTGAATATTTAAAAATGTATAAATATATAATATTTATATGACAGATACAGAAAGCAGACTGTAATTGGAAAGTGAAATCATACAACTAGATCAATAGATATCACACCCTAAGTCTTACAGATAACAGTGATACCAATACAGAAAAAAAAAATTTTACTTTTAGAGCCTCACTCAACATGCACACTTCAGATTTTCTAAGGACACTTTCATGAATCCACTACCATACTCCTGATTTTTGTTGCTGGTTGTCAGTACTTTCAAAAAACATGAAGTCCTGGATAAAAACAAAAGTACAGAAATACGTTTTAACATTAAAATAGAGAACAATTCTCAGATGCAGAAAGGAAAGAACAGATGACACAAAGTTACACACACAAAATAAATATAATATGTAAATCTGGGAAAAGTTTATATCTATGTAAGCTCTGCTTTGCCTTTTCATTTTAATAAATTAAATTCTAAAATTCTTTAATTTTATGAATTTAATCAATTACCTGGCAATTTCTCTAATAACACTTTTTGATATACCTTGAAATCTTTCTCTTTCATTCTTTTTTCCTCAAATTTTTGTGGTCCCTCTCTAGTCATACAACTTCTTTAGTGACAGGAGTTCCATGTACAGCTTTGGGTTATTTTTCAGGATAATGACACCCAGAGAACTTTTTGGTTCAGGATCATCCCTTCTTTTACAAACCTATCAACTGTATCCTTGTGTGTTTCACTTTATCACTATGCAACTAGACTCTGTCTTCCCTCTGTGACATCAGGAAAATCCTATGGATTTTATTTCTTTCACATTTATTATGTTATCATATCTCTTCAACAATAATAATTTAATGCCTTTTGCCAATCACTTGGATTATACTATTGTAATTAAACCTTTCTCCAATATATTTCCCACATTCTCACCAGATTTAGCTTACTAAAATTTGGATTTACACTTATTTTATTTTACCTAGTTTTAAATCAACCAATTAAATGTTTTTCAATGAGTTAATGTGTCTAAAAAACATGTATAATATTTAAACATTCTTTAAAAATTTTTACCTTAACTGACACATGAAAATTATATGCATTTATGCATTGCCATGTGATGTTTTCATACATACACACATTGTGCAATGTTTGAATCAGTTTAAACCTATTTATTACCTCAAATATTTATCTTTTCTTTAAGGTAAATTTGTGGGTAAATACGTATAAACTTTTTTCTGGTTTTTTAATAATGCACACTACATTATCAGTATATACAGTTACTCCACTGTGCAATAGCACATCAGAACCCAGTTTTCCCCACTATTTATTTTGTATAATTGTATTCATTTATATATTTCTCCTCTAACTGTATCTTTATTCTTTAAAGAAGACCATAACCATAGCCTCTTTTTCTTTCACCTGCATTTTTCATCGATCTATACATTCCAGATGGCTTTCTTCCCTTAAGCATACAGTATCTTTTACATACCTAGACTTTGTTCAAACAGTTTCCTAATGTTTATGGTTAAATTTACTCTTTAGGTAAAAATAATACTTACCAAAGGTCCAATTTTAACCTACAATTCTGGATATATTTAAACTTATAGACAGCATTAACCATACACCAATTTAAAATAATAGCATAAAAACCCAGTTTCTTTTCATGCAGCTTCAGTTATTATTAATGTAACCAACCTTACTTCTATTACTTCTTTCACTAGATCCCGCTGCCTTCATCCTCATTATTTACAAGTAAATCCCTAAAATCATCATATAGTGAAACACCTCAGTATGTGTCTCTAATATAGATTCTCTTTTTTTTTATAATATGATCAGTATACCATTAATCATTCCTTTATCTCATTAAACAGCCAAAATTCAAATTTCTCTGAATGTCATAAATATCTTTGCAAATACCCTTGTTTGACTGGTATATAAACATGATTTATGAACTGTGGTATCTCTTAAGACTTTCATTTTATCTTTGCTTTTTATTTTCTTTGCCACTTAGTGAAGGAACAAGGGTGGGTCCTTATTTCCTGTGTACTCTTACTTTTTCTGACTATATACACAAATCAATATTTAACATATTTCTCTAGTGTTTCAGACCTTGGCTGAACAATGTAAGCAATCATCTATGATTTCTGCATGGATTTAAGGTTGGGTCCCCAAAGTAGAGATTCTGATGTAATTGATTTGCGTGCAAAGCAGACAGGGAAAGCATGAAGAGTTCTGCAGGTATTTCTATTGTGCAGCTAATGTCAAAGACCACTGCTGTTCCTATTCTCAAATGTTGCTGAATAATACCAGCTCAGGTGACATACAAATTTCCAGTTGAGTTTCCGGCTTAGTTAAACTGGGGAATGGGTTGGTACTCAGGGTTTTATTTTTCTTATTAGTGCATCTTAATTATAAAAACTTGTAGGTTTCATTTTGGTATATTTGCACACTCATAAAACATTCTTTGGTCATTTTTTGTTTCACTATCTCTTCTATCTCTTGTCCCTTTCCTTCTCCCTCTCCCATTTCCTTCCTTTTCTGCAAGTCTCCCTTCTGTTTTGTTATCTCTATCACCCATACTTCTTTCCCTCTCCCTACTCCTATATTCTTCATGAGAGGAAATATGTGATATTTGACATTCTGAGTCTACCCTATTTCACTTAATATTATGGTCTCCAACGTTTTTTCCATTTTTCTGCAAATTATATGATTTTGTTCTTCTTTGGTACTTGGAATTTTAAGAGTGTAGAATCCCTGCTCTCTTTTACTATTTCCTATAAACTGATAGACCCAAAGGCTTGATAGATGTATTACAGTTTTAATCCTACACTAGATGATTTAATAGTAGAACAAAATTTCCTTCTTTCACTGACATTTTTTCCACTTACACTCAGATTCGACATCTTACCCAAAGCACTAATTCTGTGTTTTAAAATAAATATTCCAAGATAAACATGATATATAAAGTCCTTTTCCTGTGAAAATAAATATTCTTCAGAGAGAAACTGGTCACCTGTATATCTAATGTCAGAATCAAATGGAATTTCAGAATTAGGATCAAAAGGGAATGTTTCTAGAAAATCTATGAAGAAGGTCATTTTGCAATACACAATCTGTTGAATCATTTCAGAATGGTAAGATAGACACAATATATAACCAATATAAGTAAGAAAGGACTTACAACGAGGAAACATGCACCAAGCATCACAGTTTTTATTTTCACATCCAGGTCTAAAGGAAACTGGATCCCGAAGTTGTCGGCATCTGTGAATGCCTCTCTTACAAGCCCAGACCACTGTTTGGAAATCTTGCCAACCACAGATTGTTCATCAAGAGATTTAATCTACATTCCAAAAATAATCATAAAGGTTTGTAGAAAACATACAGCAAAGCTACTTTCAAAGTTGATGTGAAACAAACATTGTATTCAATTATGCCCATATGTATCTATGACAAATAATCCTCTCTCTGTATATGTATATAGATCCAAAACTGCTTCATTGGATACATAAGTGATAGAAATTAGTTTTGCTGAGATATTTAACATTTTCTATTTTTCAGTGACAGTAATAAATTATTTGAATTGATTCAAAACAAAATTTAAGAAGAGGTAGAAATTACTTTCTGCTTAAAGAGCAGTACAGATAGTTTATACAGGTTACAGGTTTAAACATGGTGGAAGGCACATATCCACCCACTGAGGGAAGGGAAACAGGAAATCCTAACAGCCTGGAAAAGAAAATTGTCAGTATTGAGTGAAGGAAGTGACCAAGAAGGAACTATTGAAAGCAATTTTTTTTAACTTCTCTGAATCTATGATAGGAATACCATTCTCTACATGAAAAATTACTATGCATACCCTCATATAAAGTGTAGGTATGCATACATCTCTACATCACATGTATTTTTACAAGATTTCCAATTTCTGTCATTAGAATATGAGTTCTATAAGAAGAGGATTCATGTTCATACTAGAACCTACATAGAATTTGAAACCCATATGACAGGAAAGCAGGTAAATAATCTAACAGAATGAAGCTAAATAGCTGTTAACATGGCCATAACATGGCTATAAGGGGTAGCCCTTTTTGGCTGTAGGATACTCTTGTCCTGTGGAAAGGTGGACCCGGTTTACCATATTTTCTGATTTTACAGGAGAAATCAAGAATTAAAGATTAATTTGTAGCCGGGGATTTAGCTCAGTGGTTCCGCCACCTGCCTCGCAAGACCAAGGTCCTGTGTTTGATCCCTGGTACACCCCTCCAAAAAAAGATTAATTTGTAAAATTTCTCCATCTTTAAATATTTGTGACTAAAGAAATTGGGTTATGTGTTGAGGCTAGTGATAGTGAACCTTTTAGAGAAGAATGTCCAAACTGCAACCCCAAACCCACTTATTTATCGCAACGTGCCAATACTGCAATTAAACCTGAATACTGAGGTTTTAGTTTAAAAAAAAAAACCCTCATACACTAACATCTTAAAATAACACACGTGCCATAGGTTAGCCACCATTGGTCTGGCATCTATTGTAATGAAATTATCCCATGTATTAAATACACAGATATATTACAGCTTCGAGTGACTTAATTTAATACAAGGATGAAACAGAGATGACAGAGATGCATAATTGAGCATTATGTGTTATATAGTAGTCCCTTAGTCTGTGGGGAGTCCAGGGGGGTTTGAAGCCAAAGACACTACTGAATTGTAAGCTTTTTCCCTCTATATCCATGCCTATGATAAAGTGTAATCTATAAATTAAGGACAGGAAGAGATTAGCAACAATTAGTAACCATTAAATAGAAAAAAATCAATAAACTATAATAAAAGTTGTGTGAATGTGGAATTTCTTCCCTCTCTCAAAATATCCTATTTTACTATATATATCCATTTTGAGACAATGTGAGATGACACACTGGTAGCCTGTGTGATGAGGTGAAGAAAGGTAACTGATGTAGGCAAGGGAACATAGGGTAAGTTTGCTATATATGGGTTACTTGAACACTAGCAGTAAAATATCAAGACAATCCATCTACAAACTGACTACTATTAAGGATGCTACTAAGTGATTAAACTAATGGGCAGGTATTTTATACAGTGACAATACTTTTTTTTCCTGGTACTTGGGATTGAACTTGGGACCTTGTGCTTGCGAGGCAGACCACTGAGTTAAATTCCAGGCCCCACAATGACAATACTGTAGAAAGAGGGATGACTCACATTTAGGCTGTATGGAGTAGGGTGGGTTACTCAGAATGGCATGCAAATTAAACTTATAAATTGTTTAATGCTGAAAAAATCCATTTAATATTTTCAGGAATATGAATATGGTTAATTAAAGCTATGAAAAGTGAAGTTGTGGAACAGAAAGTACTTTTATATTAACCTTATTAAAACTATCTTTGTGTAATTTTCTCTTTGTGGGAATTAAAGCAACCAGGCCTTCTGAACATGGTCTAGACCACTGCCTATGATGCAGATTTAGGAAGGATCCATGAGATTGGGCAATCAGATTTAGATGACAAAGCTAGCATTCTATGTTGTTTGTTTGTTTTAAAATTATTATTATTATTAGACTCTTGGTTGTAGCCCAGGCCAGCCTTTTACTTGTGATCCTCCGGCTTCAATGTCCTGAATGCTGACAATATGTAGTGTCAGTAGAAGTCACTAGGTTTAAATTCTAGATACTTTGTATTTTTATCTGTGACTATATATCATTTAGCATAATCAACACTAAACTTTAATCATATTAGTGAGCACAAAATTGACTAAAGTTAAATACTTGAACACACTATCTTTCTTTGAGATATTAATGAAAAGTACTTAGTATATTTGTAACACCCTATAATGTTATATTGGACAATAAGAAAGCAAATCTTATAAACATTATGACATTTCTTACCTCAAAATCAATGTCTGAACAACAACTGCACACAATACATGGACCAATTATTTTTAGTACATCCTCTCTCCTCTCATTTTGAACAGTAAACTTAGGCAGACATGGGTGCCACTTCTGAGTAACATAACCAATTGGAACACCAGGAGGAGCCTGGATTTCTATCTACAATAGCAAAAGAATATAAGAAATTTAACAATAATTACAATGTTTACGTTCAACAAAGGGTGAAAGTTCTTCCTGAACTTCTTTACAAAGAGCCATGGTAATTGCACACTGACCTCCTGAAGGCAGCAAGGGAAACAGCAGCTGGTACATCTCAGTGGTCTCTCCATAGTTATGACTTCTCGGCCCAAATTATCAAGAATCTTCAATGTAAAAGGCCTAGATGCTCCACAGCAATTTCGAGTGCAGCAATCATTATCTTCCACTGCAAAGTAAACCCTCTGTCCAAGGCTGTTCTTAATTTCATATTTATTATTAGTTTCAAAGCCTGTTAAGACTAAAAACATAAAAAGGGAATCTATCATCACCTTTTTGTTCCATTTTGTTAAGAATAATGAATCTCTATGATATCATAACATCTAGCTATACCAGCTTTGGATGGTACTCCAAACATCACAAGCAAGAGGAAAATAGAAAATCTGTTTTAGGAAGTGATAGAGATTGGGAAAAAAGTCAAAAGGAAATAAGGAGAGGATATTCTGGTAAAAATAAGTTATGTCTCTTAATTCCACAGACTGCTGCAAAGGGGAACATTTCTGCACAGGACTGTATAATGGTGTAGGTGGACAGAGTGGTGCCTAGTGAATGGATAAAATTTCCATTTTTCTGGTACAATTTTCATATGTTATAAAGGAGTTATGGGGTATAGCAATATTGTATTAAATAAATTGCCTTGAGACATTTTAGAAATTCCACTTAGTCTTATTTTTGGCACCATGTTTGAGCAAAGGTAATGAGGGTTTACTCCGAATGTATACATGTGAAGGAAGAGAGTGAAAATGGAAGGGTAATTGATTTAGAGCATCATATTGTTCCCAGGGCACTCATTTTTAGCTCATCACTAGTTGAAAGTGGGAGATGGGTATTAGACAAGGTGGGAACAAACATTTGGTAATCATGGTTTTAACTCATAGGCTGCACAGACCATGAGAATACAAAGAGATTTCTTCACCTTCTAGGGGCTCATCTCTTCATGAAGAAAATGGAGTGATGTTAAGTGCTGACATATAAATGGTGTATTACTAAGGGCCTTCCATAGGAATCAACACCTTAGAAAAGTCTCCATCCTTAGAGGCAGAAAGGAGCAATTAAGGCTCTCATTTATCCATAGCCTTCAGATACTGGGGTCATAGTATGTTTAAAAGAAATATATGGAGAGAAGCATGCCATTCCATCTGTAATTGCATGCAGATCCTGGGGAGCAGCTGTGTGGCCCAGACTGGCTCAGCTGCAGCTGGATCTCAGCCAGGGCTCCGCCCTGACCCCAGAAGATCCTGCATACCCGCCCAGGCCAAAGACTCACCCAGAAAAGAGCTGCACAGGCACACAAGCAATATCCAGAGGCTCACTGTGCTACCTTTGATAAGTGTGAGGAGACCCTAGTCAAAGCCTGTGCAGACAACAGGAACTGGGGTACACAGTCCCCAGCCAAAGGCCCTCCAGAACAACAGCTACAGAGGGACCCCAGCAAGAGGCATGCCTAGATACCATCCCAAGTGTGCACAGGCCCCAGCCAGAAGCCTGCCCAGACAACAGGTCAGCTCAGGGTTCCAGAAGGCTACCACTCTGAACCCAGGAATTGGTGTGCTGGTGAGTAGCAGAGTAAAGGCTGCTTGGTGGCTTGCTGAGAATTCAAGACCACTGGGTGAGCAAAAAGTTGCCTCAAAAACAGCACAGCAGGGTGCAACTGTTGAAATGAGAAGACACATAAATACATTTCAAAACCAGACTTCCAGATCACCTAAGGCAACCCCAAAAGGCAACGACATGGAACTGATACTCAACCACCTGGACTCCCTGAACTGGCAATGAAAGAGGATCTGGAAAAAACAAAATCAGAAATAATTTCTCAGATAACAGCAGAGATTGTGCCCATAGTACAAGACATGATTAATAAATCTAGAGAGAACACAGATAAAAAAATAGAA